CTTTTCCTTCCAAGGATACATCATGGGAATGGCGAAATCCAAAAAGTTTAGAACAGAATCAGCTAACTTCTTTGTATGGAGTCCGGTCAAATCCTGGTGGCAGCCATGTTTGTTTTTATTATTAGATGACGCTTACGCGCATAATCATTCCATCTTTGGAATTCACATTTCTTAATATGGTAGTATGAAAATACTCCGTAAAATACTGCAAAATTATGGCACGCTGTAACTTATGACGTTACGGTGACAGATGTATAATAATATTGAATCTTTACTTGTCTAGTTCTTAGTATCAATTCTCTACATTCAATAGAAGCCAAGCCTAAGATATATGCTGGATTTTTAACATAGTAATGGCCACCAGCCATACCGTACCGTACCGTAGCCGTAAGTATGACATGTCTTGAACCAGGCAGGTGTAGACGGGCACATTATCACACGGGCACACACAGGTAAAAATGTAAGTGGACTTTGTACAAACGGGGACTAAAAATAAATGAATGAATCGCTGAATCGATTTTGAAAACAAAAATTTACTTGAATCATTTTTTATCTTTTTACAATTTACTGGAAGATTTTAAAAACAATCTTCCTTAATCCGAAAAAATGCACACCCACGAGGAAATACAACATAATCCTCTGATGTAGGCATATATAAATCATTATTATACATATAATGCCTTAAACAATAGAATATACCTACATGTATATGTAAAACATCATACAGACATGTTTGAAAATGTTACGTACATGTTTGAATGTTTCCCTTATTTGGTGATTATGCATCACGTTATCTCATTAAATTGTTACTAAGACCAGGGAAAAGATGTAAAATAATAATAATAAGGTTAACTTAAGAATTATTAAAATAAGCTACACATTGGTCGATGCGATCACTGCTTTCTTGCATACTTAGCGGTATTATCACATGTTCATTTAGCAAAGTGTATGTACTTGTAATACAGTACACTGTTTTATATAAGTAGAACAGCCAGATATTTACATAATTGTACAAATTAAGAAGTCTATTGTATGAATTCAAGAGATTACAAAAGCTATTAAAAATGACATACACGTTTATTATTTGTGTTGATTTCCCCAGCATATGTTAAAAACTACCAAGTTTTTCACCAAATCGAATGGACTGCCCAGGTTGAATGTCAAACTCAAAGTCTTTTGGTGCTTCAAATATAAGAACAATTGTGGAGCCAAGGTTGAATTCTCCAAGATTCTCGCCTTTTCTCATAGATATTCCTTCCTCTCTGTGTTTGCAAGTGAGGTTTCTGTCATAGAATACATTCTTATCAACTTTACCAACCATATTGGTAGCAAGATGCTGTAAACAAAAATGCAGGCATACTTAATGAAAAGAATCTTGAGTTGTGAGTGTGTGTCAGGATTCTACTAAAAAATGCACAATCTATGTCAGAAGTTTGCGAAGGATATTTTTATTTGTTATAGTTAAGTTTGTTGTCTTCACCATTGGAGCCCCAGCACAAAAAGAGTCACCACTATACTTGACAGCAGATGCTTCGTTCAGAGGGAGCCACAAACACTATTTGTTGAATTTCCTAGTGAATGACTAGAAAAATACATGTCTCCTCATTGATCTCCCATGCAATATTCCTAGCAAGATTGGTAGCAGTGTTTGTTTTGGCACTTTTTAATCTTAACAAGCTGACTTTCTCTAATATAAATCATTTTTGAATGGCGTTCAGAGATTTATTTTTCAATGAAGTCAGTATTTGAACAAAAGAATTGCATAAAAAAAATGGTGAGTTACTGAATCCTACAAGTGTTCAACATTTCAACACACGGAATTATTACAGTGAACAATCCCATGTCAAACACCCATGTCATGTATAGTGACTTTTGATATTAACAGTATTGTTAATTTCCAATGGCTGAAGGCAAAGTTTTCAATACTAGTTCTAGTATCTTGCAGAAATGCTTGACGTTTTGTGGCAAAAACGGTCACCATTCAGCCATCTTGAATTGGATCATGAAACAAATAGACATGGATAAGTCTCCCAAAATGTAAAATGTATGTGTGAAGTTTGAATGTGTTCGGTCCAGGCATATCCAAGATACAGGTGGGCACACACATACACGGAGGACCATCAATAAGTCTCCGTTTTCAAACTGCATCTGGGACAGTAACTAAATACGTCTATTTGGTCAAGAAATATTCTTTCACAATTACTAATTCTAATTATTTATTCTGCAAATACAAATATATAACTATTTATTTAAAATTGAATTATTGAAATGTCCACTCACCTTATCAAAATATATTTTAATGGAACCAACATTAGTAGCACCAACAGCAGCCATTGAAAAGAAACCATGCTTCCATGATCCATATAAAAGTACTCTTTCATTGTAATTAAACAATCCCTGAATCCAACGAGCAATTCCTGGCGACACAGAAAACAATTCACCTGGGAAATAAAGCCATAAAAGTATATTGAGTATATAATTACACTACACTAATAAAAGCGATTGCGTAGTGTAATTGTTAATAAATACACTACACTGATAAAAGTTACTGCGTAGTGTATTGTATATAAATACATTACGTTGATAAAAGTGACTGCGTAGTATATTGTATATAAATACACTACACTAATAAAAGTGATTGCGTAGTGTAATTGTATATAAATATACAAAATTGATAAAAGTGATTGCGTAGTGTAATTGTATATAAATACACTACACTGATAAAAGTGACTGCGTAGTGTAATTGTATATAAATACACTACGTTGATAAAAGTGACTGTGTAGTGTAATTGTAATAAATACACTACACTAATAAAAGTGATTGCGTAGTGTAATTGTATATAAATATACAAAATTGATAAAAGTGACTGCGTAGTGTAATTGTATTTAAATACACTACACTGATAAAAGTGATTGCGTAGTGTATTGTATATAAATACACTACATTGATAAAAGTGACTGTAGTGTATTGTATATAAATACGCTACACTGATAAAAGTGATTGCATAGTGTAATTGTATATAAATACACTACACTGATAAAAGTGAGTGCGTAGTGTATTGTATATAAATACACTACATTGATAAAAGTGACTGTGTAGTGTATTGTATATAAATACGCTACACTGATAAAAGTGATTGCATAGTGTAATTGTATATAAATACACTACTCTGATAAAAGTGATTGCGTAGTGTAATTGTATATAAATACACTACATTGATAAAAGTGATTGCGTAGTATATTGTTCATAAATACACTACACTGATAAAAGTGACTGTAGTGTATTGTATATAAATACACTACACTGATAAAAGTGATTGCGTAGTGTATTGTATATAAATACACTACACTGATAAAAGTGACTGCGTAGTGTATTGTATATAAATACACTACACTGATAAAAGTGATTGCGTAGTGTATTGTATATAAATACACTACACTGATAAAAGTGATTGCATAGTGTATTGTATATAAATACACTACACTGATAAAAGTGATTGCATAGTGTATTGTATATAAATACACTACACTGATAAAAGTGATTGCATAGTGTATTGTATATAAATACACTACACTGATAAAAGTGATTGCTAGTGTATTGTATATAAATACACTACACTGATAAAAGTGATTGCATAGTGTATTGTATATAAATACACTACACTGATAAAAGTGATTGCGTAGTGTATTGTATATAAATACACTACGTTGATAAAAGTGACTGTGTAGTGTATTGTAATAAATACACTACACTAATAAAAGTGATTGCGTAGTGTAATTGTATATAAATATACAAAATTGATAAAAGTGACTGCGTAGTGTAATTGTATTTAAATACACTACACTGATAAAAGTGATTGTGTAGTGTATTGTATATAAATACACTACATTGATAAAAGTGACTGTAGTGTATTGTATATAAATACGCTACACTGATAAAAGTGATTGCATAGTGTAATTGTATATAAATACACTACACTGATAAAAGTGAGTGCGTAGTGTATTGTATATAAATACACTACATTGATAAAAGTGACTGTGTAGTGTATTGTATATAAATACGCTACACTGATAAAAGTGATTGCATAGTGTAATTGTATATAAATACACTACATTGATAAAAGTGATTGCGTAGTATATTGTTCATAAATACACTACACTGATAAAAGTGACTGTAGTGTATTGTATATAAATACACTACACTGATAAAAGTGAGTGCGTAGTGTATTGTATATAAATACACTACACTGATAAAAGTGAGTGCGTAGTGTAATTGTATATAAATACACTACATTGATAAAAGTAATTGCGTAGTGTATTGTATATAAATACACTACACTAATAAAATTGACTTGCATAGTGT